TCAAGACTTTTAGTCGTCCCTGAGGAGTTGAGGAAGGAGGTTCTACGCATGTGCCATGACATCCCAGCATCAGGCCACCAGGGCATTGATAGAACCAAGGCACACCTGCGTGATAGATTCTTCTGGTATGGAGGCAGAACAGTTCGTGAGCACCTGTGGTCCTTGCAGCAGGAATAAGCATCCTCAGCGCCATGCCCGGGCAGAGATGATTATTTACCATGCTGGCGCCCCTATGGAGAGAGTCCATCTTGATTTTCTGGGGCCCGTACCCCGGACTAAACAGGGTAATGAATGTACTTGTCATGGTGGATCAGTTCACCAAGTGGATGGAGTGCGTTACCCTTCCCACTCAGACTGCTGAGGCAACAGCTACTGCTGCGGTCGATAAGCTCTATGCTCGCGTTGGCTGTCCCTTCCAGATCTTCACCGACCAGGGTAGAAACTTTTAAAGTAAGCTCTTTACAGCAGTGTGCGACTTGTTGCAGATCCATAAGGCCCGCACCACTCCTTAAGGCCCCTCGGCCAATGGCCAGGTAGAAAGGTATAATAGAACCTTGATGGATGCGGTGCGTTGTTATATAGATAAGGCCCAGTACTGCTGAAATGAATATCTTGTCCAGATAGCAGATGTCCTGCGCTCTACAGTCAACTGGAACACGTGCTTTACTGCGAACAAGCAGATGTTGGGCAGGGAAGTGAATATCCCTGCTGATCTGATATATGCCCCACCCCAGAGGGATCCAGCTGTTGACCTTGAAGGTTATGTAGTGAATTTGGAGAAGGCAATCCAGTCAGCTCAAGAGACAGTCTGGAGACGTCTCCGGACCTCAGTGGAGCGAATGAATGAAGAGGGATTATGACCTGAAGGTCTGTGCCCGAACTTACAATGAAGGTGACCTAGTTTACGTCCTTGACACGGCAACTGTCATGGGGAAATGCAGGAAGTTGAGCCCTACCTGGAAGGGACCCAGTATTATCTTGAAGAAGTTAAGCTCCCACCTTTACCGAGTGAAGACCAAGCTCACGGTGATGGTTGTCAACAATGATCGCCTTAAAAGGTGTGTAGATCGGGACATACCATTATGACTGTCCCGGTATCAAGAGAAGTTCAGAGCCCAGTCCCAGGAAGGTGGTGAGTTAAGCAGTGCTCCATTGCCCCCAGGGGAGAAAGCTCCCTAGAGTGAGGTCCCTGGACCTTCCCAGTTGCGCTTGTCCTCAGACAGCTCTCCCTGTGTACCGAGAAAACGGGGGTGCCCACTTAAAGTGCGGTCGCCCTCTACTGAGTCCGCATAGTCGTCAGATAGGGATACGGACTCTGAGCTCTATTGTTTCTGTCATAGAGTGGACGATGGGGGGCTAATGATTCAATGCGACTAGTGTGACAGTTGGTTCCACGGGGTTTGTGTGGGGATAACTTCAGAGGAGGCTTCCTCCCTGGACCAGTACATCTGCCCAGATGGTATGATGGAACCCCGGGTAGCTAACATTGGTGTTGTTCTGCAGATGCCCCATCTTGGCCCGGGGCAAGACGGGTTACTCTGGCAGTGCTCCAGGAGTGGTGAGTGGGCCAGCTAGCAATACATAGATAACAACAGAATAGGTCAATAGAAGCATACATAATATATAATAAGTATTCACCCAAAAATACGAAGATAGCATTATATATCGAGATCAGTAAACAGAACAGATTATAAGTACTCTCCCACAAATACAGAAGTAACCACGCAATATGTCATGATTGGTACATAGAACAGATTATAAGTCAGCTGTGATACTTGATATCTGCCGTATTTTCCTAAGGACCGGGGAATATTATCTTCATCCATTTTGTTACCAACCATAGGAGAATAGATATGCTTACGATTTAGTTGAAGCTTAGATATGAGCTGATGGCAACAATAGTGCAAGTGTACAGAAATGTATCCTTTACATCTGTTGTCAATGCATTTGTTGCAATAAACATTATTAAATGTTATTTCTGTATTTTATTGCAAGAGATAAAACGTATTTTATTACATGCTAATGTTTACCTGATGCTATATTTACCTTTTATTTTATCGTCTTAATGAAACTCCATGGTTCATATCGGAAGTTTATCTCATTTTTTATGCTGATAAAGATTTTGGTCCTTTTTTCTGGATCTCTTAAAATTTCATCGATTTTGAGACAAAATACACGAAGATAATTCATTTCTTTATCTCTTAATCTTTCATCTTTGAACAATTGTGACAATTTTTAGTGCCTTGTGTGTTTTTTACTTCGACCCGCACGGTATAGCTCCCACTTCGTAGTTGAGAGAAAATGGATTTAAGGTATCCGATCCATAATAGCCTCAGATTCAATGAATCTGAATGTATAACAGATATATACTGGCTGAGTACTCACTATATGTAGACATAATCTTCATGTTTTAGTATCAATATGTGAAGGTGGAATGTGTCCTAATTTTTGACCTTGTCCTGTCCTTGAAGAGTTATATCCCTTTGCTTTTAATCAATAAAATTCAATTCTAAAAAAAATCTATCTGGTAAATAATTAGTTTTCAATCGTTTTTCGATTCCTAATAATTAAATACATCTTTCCACCAAAGCATTTTTTGATATTCTTAGTATATAAATTTTTATTTTAATAAAAAATTTGCTTGTCCCCATAGACCTCAATGCATTCTTCATTTATTAATTACTGCTTAGGTAATTATAATTTTGAAAATTTCTCCTGGTAAATCCTTTTCTACTCTAAAATGCTTTGATTTAATTTCCGAGTATTTTATACAGGATGGATATTTAAGGTTAGAAAATTAGGTCCTTTTATGGATCGGATACCTTAAGCCCCGCAGCGAGAAATATAAGTCGATAAAAATAGGTAGCAACTGTTGCTTCGCCAACATAAGCAGTGCTGTTCAAGTGAGTTGCAGGTCTTTCAGATGAGACCTTAATAATCACGTAGGCTATGGCACGCTAAAGAACTCTCAATTTTTAATAGCCCTGAGGTTGGAGTAAAGATCAAAATCTGAAGCCTTTTACTGCATGGTATTTGATGAAACGATAAACAAATTTGTAGCAAACCGTTCCTTCTCCAAGCACTCGGTACGTTGAAGTGAAAGTTACGGGTCTTTCGGATGAGACCTTAAAAAACCGAGGCACCGTATTAGTGCAGGTGTTAACACGATAAAGATCCCTCACTGCTCAATGACCTTGAGTACCGAGTAAAGGTCTAAATTTTAAGTCCTTCACCGGTATATGGTGACGTCTCTATATGAAAAATTCTCGAATGGACGTAAAACAAACAATCAATCAATCCAGGTGCCATCAATGAAGTATTTGCTTTCACAACCAATTGATATCAGTAATGATTTTTTTTCATACAAGATGCCATCAATGACAAATTAAGTAACATTCATTACCAGATGCAAATAATAAGTTTACTTTCGCTACCAGATGCCATGAATAATAAATTTATTTTCGCTACTCGAAACCACCAGTAATAAATTTACTTTCGCTACCATAATCCATAAATTTTAAATTTCAATTGGCTACCAGATGATATTAATAATGATTATAATTCCACTGCAAGTTGCCGTCAATAGTATTTTTAATATGTTAACTTCCAACTGTTTATAGTATTCCCTGGAAAAGTCACCATCCACTTGTTTTGAAAGTATTAGAAGCTGTAAATCATGACAACATAAACGACTTCGTATTGAAGGAAATTTTGTCATTTAAATTGAATCCTGTATACATCTTCTGTATACAAATAACACGATTTTTTAAAGCCTATGGAAATATACAATGTTACTTCGGCCATTGCTTTAGAGTATTGGAGGGAGAGATGGTTATTTCAAGACATAGTCCAGGTGAAACCTCCAGATAGATTCCGAGTGCATGTCATAATATAAATAATGACATGCAATGGATCTATAGGGGATGCTATTTTGTTAATGTTTAAGCCTCTTAGACTTTGAATCATTTTTTTTTTACATATACAACTTCTTTCCGGATGATCGCCTCAAAACAAAAAAGTCAACTTTGATTGATATGTTGTTTGTTGTTTCAAGTCCCTTAAACAGATTTTTCACTCACAAAAAATAGCGGTCAGGCTTTTCAAATTTATACCTATACTGTGTACTTAGGAACATTGAACAGTGAGAGCTTTTTTATCGTGCCAACGCCAACCGTGACATTGAAACTATTTTTTAAGGTCATATCCGAAACACCAGTGACTTCCACTTCGATTGCCGGGCGCTTGGCGATGGAAATGTAACTACCTATGTTTTGCGTCTTAGGTTTGACGCGGCACTGGAAAGAAGAAACGAACCTGGATCTACAATCACGTAGCGAGTGTCTTGCCACTACGCCACAGGGACCGGTCATCTACTTTAAAGTCAAGGGTATTTATGTAATTTGAGATAAACTGCAAAAAGAAATTACGGGATAGTGGGACAGACAATGCAAGGCAAATTCCGTGAAGATAATTGATTTTTTTTTTCAATATTTCTCTAAAAATTAGATTTAAAAAAATATATACGATTTTTAACGTTTATGTCATTCGTTACAAAACATTAACCGTCGCTCGCGTGGTGCAGTAGTTAGAGCATTTGCTCTAGAGCCACGGAGTAAGGAGTTGATCCTTACGTCGCGGGTTCGAATCCCACTGCGGGAAATGGAGACCGGTTCTTCGGATGAGACCGGATAAACCGAGGTCCCGTGTCGCAGAGGATGTTAGCACAAAAACGACCCTTCATTGGTCAGAGGCTTTAAGTGCCGAATACAGGTCTATATTTTCAGCCATGGCAAGTGATGGCGTCTCAATATGAGTGAAAAATTCTCGAAAGAGACGTTAAATGAACAAACAAACTACACATTTATCCCAATGAGTTTGGTGTAATGATTTTACGCTTTACACTCTGCAACAAACAATCAAAACATGCCAGATTCCCTTCTCCTTTCATCAGTAATGTATATATACAATGACGTAGGTGTTTTTAAAAGTTAAATACAGAATGATGTCCATGTTCTCTTTTATTATGTGTTCTCTTTTGTTGGTTACAACAAGAAATGTAAATTGTTTTGTCCATTTTGCTAGGAATCTCCATTTAAAGAGTTCGTTTTTGTCTTTTTCTTATTGTCTTTCAAGACATAGAAATTCTTGACTTCTTCGAGAGTATTTGGCAGCTCCTTCCCAGTTGTTTCGGGTAACCATAGGAACAAAATCGTTACAACAAGTGACAGAGAACCGAACACGACACCTGGTCCCCAAGGGATGTAGGAACCCTATAGGAAAGACACAGTAAGTACATCATTTAATAAGGTCAAAAAATATAGATGCCTAGCTAAAACTCAGAAAGAAACTGGTGTCTTTTTATAAAAGTAATTTTCATTTACTGGGAAGCAAGCACCACCTGAGTGATTCAAAGCATGAAATTTTGTCTTACAGCTTATACTTCTCAAATTAATTGTCAATTATCTCAATTTCCAAATTCACGTGTTACTGGAAACATATTTATATATTTTATGTATTAGTGTCAAGGCTTTTTATTTAAGAATCAGAGATGGCGCAATAGTTAATGTATGAACTATGGAGATAGCGAACAGTAATCAAGTTCAAAAGTCCATTGAAGCAATACAAATTAGCAGCAGAGCAAACATGAACCTCTAAAAATCATCAGAGGTGGGATCAGGTGCCATGGAGGAGTAAGCATCCACCGACGACCGGTTACACCCGCCGTGTGCTCCTTGTCTTGATCGGGAAACAGAAAATCCATAGATAATTCAGTGTGAAAATAATGGCCTAACAATTTGTACGTATATTTTCTTATCGAATTGAAAACTACTTTAGGAATCAGGAATAACAAGATTTTAATATATCACCGTCGTATGTTGTGTATCAAAATAAGCACTTTTTGTTTCCTTTCAGGTTTATAAAATATAACATCTTTCTCTTTGAATTTTAATTAAGTCGAGGGGGGATAAATAAACTGAAGTGTACAATTTTTTTTTGACTTGGAAGAAACCTCTTGTCGAGTTTTCATCCCCACATGGCAACCAATGAAATAAAATTAAGAATTCCTTCACCTTAAGCAGAATACAATAGAACACAGGTATTTTAATGGTCACTAAATATGATTTTATAATACAAAAAATATGCCATAGATATATATAAATAAAGTTCAACAATGGACTATCAATTACAACTAGTTAGAAACACTTACAAACAGGGCTGCATATGGTGATATCATTCCTCCTATTCTAGCAGCAGCAGAGGCCAGTCCCATACCCAACGCCCTAAAAACAAGGGAAAGTAAATTAGCAGAAAAGTCACTTTAAAAAACATTTGATTTATTTCTAAGTTAATAGTATTGATATATATCTATTGAGCGGCTTTACATTGGAAATCATGCTTATCTTCGTTTATACTTCTTGATTTTTTTATTAACCGGTCGGCAGGGGATGCTCACTCCTCCATGGCACCTGATCCCACCTCTGATGTCTTAGAGGCCTGTGTTTTCTCTGCTCCTGTTTTGTAATGTTTAATGGACTTCTGAGCTCGAATACAGTTCGTTATCTCCACATGTTTCATTAATTTCGAATAAAGTGATACTTTGCAAAAGATCCTTTGCTTAAGCAAAAGCTTTCATATAAAATAAATTTCATTGAAATATTTCCGAAATATTAACTTCATATTTACATAAAGGATTTGAATACTGTACCTTAAATTTGTAGGATAAATCTCTGGTGTGTATAAGAAGATTGTCATGAATGATCCAGATATTCCAAACTTTCCGGCGAAACTCATGGCTGAAGCAAATCCCTTCATCGCAGATGTATCTTATGTTTAAAATATAGAAGAGAAAAAAGAAGTGGCAGAGAACGGAGGAAACAACTAATTCTGATTGACACTCTTCAGTAGCACGTGATGTTTATTGAGTAAATTATTGCAGAAAACAGCACATTTGTGGTCTTATTTGAATTTTTTTTTTTATTAATAATACTATTAACAATACAATATTACTGTTATTATTGTGGTCTTATTAGATATATATAAAATAAGTTTATTTACAAATAAACACAGAATTTTAAAGTTTAATACTTTTTCCACCTGTAAAATCAGCTGAACTGTACCTACAATAAAGGTAATATTTATCTGTACCTACCATAAGGGTAATATCTACCTGTACCTACCATAAAGGTAATATTTACCTGTACCTACCATAAAGGTAATTTTAACCTGTATCTACTCATGGTAATATTTACCTGTACCTACAATAAAGGTAATATTTATCTGTACCTACCATAAGGGTAATATTTACCTGTACCTACCATAAAGGTAATATTTACCTGTACCTACCATAAAGGTAATTTTAACCTGTATCTACTCATGGTAATATTTACCTGTACCTACCATAAAGGTAATATTTACCTGTACCTACCATAAAGGTAATATTTATCTGTACCTAGCATAAAGGTAATTTTAACCTGTACCTACTAAAGGTAACATTTACCTGTACCTACTATAAAGGTAATATTTACCTGTACCTACCATAAAGGTAATATTACCTACCTACCATAAGGTAATATTTACCTGTATCTACCATGAAGGTAATATTTACCTGTACTTACCATAAAGGTAATATTTACCTGTACCTACCTTAAAGGTAATATTTACCTGCAGTAAAGTTAAGAATAGCAGTCAGAGTGAGACTCACACCAGCGATGGCATGAAACATGACGCAGGTCTTCTTCCTTCCATATCTAAACAGAAAATTTTAACCTATTATTTTTTGCTAACTGCTCTGTCAGCTTTTATTTTAAAATCTTAATTCATATATGGCTTGTAATAAAACAGAATACCTGTTGATTGTAAACAAATAGAGAAATATGCATGGTATCTCAACGATGCCATTTAAGAAAAAATTCAGGTACATATTTCCACTCATAGTCCCAGAGGTAAGAAATAGTCCATAATATGTGAGACTGTTAACAAACCTAAATAGAAAGATATATTCATAGAAATGTCTGGATTCTTTCATTTACTTGTTATATCAAGGGAGATGATTTAATATGGAACCCTTTATCACTACTTGTGCTCATTAATTTTGTGGAGTTTAAAAAGGATTATTACCACACTACCCAGACAATCATGGAAGTCAGTAATATGTGTTTATGCCTGAAAATATCCAACACAGACAACTTCTCTTCCTTCCTATATGAATCCATCCTCCTTTTTCCGGCCTCTTCACCATTAACCTCTGGTTTGGTTAATTCAGTATTTCCATCTACAAGCACCTGTAGCTCACTACTCTGTAATTCAGAGTCAAACTCCTCTATTAGATTGGAAGGATCTATCTTGTTCCATTTGGCAGCACGTTTTATCCACTGCTTTGTCTCTTCATATCTGCCATTTGCAACAAGCCATCGAGGAGATTCCTGGAGAATCCTAAAGAAAAATTAGAGAAATTTAGTAGTGGGTGAAGGTTGAAAGACGAGAAAAATTTGTTAGAAATGTTTAAAGAAATGTTTGATAGAGTCATTCAAATTAAATATCTTTAAAGTTTATATATAGAAATATCAAGAAATTTTCATTCATAGAAGAGGGAATACGTGCATTCTACGTTTACCTCGTATGACTCATGTACCCAATTTATACATATATATTCGCAATAAAATTTAAGAAGCCATACATATAAAAAAATTGATTCAGTCAAAAATTATTGAAACATGTTTGACAAAGGAATAGCAGTTAGCTTTTCTAGAAGCATACTACCTTATAACTAGTTTGTGGGTGCTAATTTATACCTGAAGTCACAGAGATAATTAAAAAAAATATCGCCGTGTAGCAAGGCGCTGTGGGCGCTAGATTACACCAGCTGTCACACAGACAATAAAGAAACAGGCCAAGGTTGTGGAAGACAATAAAGGATTATAACGGCGTTTGCAAGGCTGTGGAAGACAATGAAGGCGCATATCAAGATGCAGCATGTCTTTGGGAGACAAAAGGCCATGTCACTGCAGAAAGCAGATATAAAAAAAGGAACATGTCATTATGTAGTAAGACTGTGAGCTCTTCTTATACTGATAGAGAGAATCAATTAAGGAACATGTCACTGAGTAGCAAGGCTGTGGGAGTCTATTATTCCCAAAGACACACAGACAATGAAGGAACATATAACCGTTTAACAATGCTATGAGCGCCGATTATACCGCAGATACAGACAATAAAGGCACATACCACCCTGTAGCAAGGCTGAAATACAGGTAGACAGTAAAGGTACATACCACCGTGTACCAAGGCTGTGGGACCCTATTATACCGGCAGATTCAGAGACAGTAAAGGTACATACCACCGTGTACCAAGGCTGTGGGACCCTATTATACCGGCAGCCAGCATGGTATATCTCCACGATACGTTACGAAGAAGGTAAGCCACAAGAGATATCGACGTGATTGAGAGAGCCCAGGCTATGCTTCCTACAGAGACAATAAAGCCACGTGACTCAGCAGGGAAAATCTCCAAAGCCAGTGTTGCCAAGGTCATTCCGGCTCCCTAAAATGGAAGAAGAATCATTATTATTCTAACAACGAGAATGTAGTTTAAAATCAAATTTGGAAAGAGTTTACTTTTTAAACCCGTGTCTATCTGTGTGCCAATGAGTCTCAGTGTTCCACGAATTTCTCAGATAGTTTTAAATGGGTTTCAATGAAATTTTATAGAAAGGTGTCTTTGAAAAAAAAATCAGTGAGTTGAAGGGGATATGGTTTAAGTTCCGGATACATATTGTTTCTCAATTTTCTTTTGAATCTTTGCCCACTGTTTTGTTTTATATCTCCAAATATTTTCAGAGTTTCAATTTGTAAAGGAAAGTGCTATTGGCCAAAGGAGAATCAATAAGATTTACAGGAACTTGAGATATGTCAATGCAGGATTAAAAAAAAAGACTTTTGTTTCAGGAAATTATAAACTTCAACATTCAAAACGTGATATCTCTATTTTATTAACGATATTTATGTTAACATTCAGTGTTATTTTCGTTATTAAATCCATTGGAAATCTACAACATTTGACCCCCAATAACATACATGAATCCTAGTTATGGCGAGGTATAGTACACATCATACTGCACTACACATATGCTACACGTGGTATTTAATTTGTCGACATGGCCAGGTTCTGTTACACAACAGACGACATCCAAAAACAAGAACTCAATACATGTACTTATATGAATTACTCTCAGAGGAACTCTCTTTATTGCTTCTCCCTATACTTTTGTCTGAACAACTGAAGTCAGAGAATAGGGTTATTTCACAGATGCATATTTATTGACTGGAACTTTATCTTTGTTTTCAGGCTAAAAATGTCTTTTTAAGGAATATTTCAACATATTACAAAAATTTCTTTTTGTTTTGTAAATAAAGAGAGGGGTCATTGCAAGAGATGTATTATTTGGCCTCATTGGTCCAGTTTTTTATTGCGTATATTTCAGTTTCTAATAATAGGATAGGACTGATGTTATATAAGACCGTCTGATTAATGTGTTTTTACTATTTCTGTAATAAGCATACCGGCTTTTTTAGAGAAGTACCTGACCAAAGGCTCCCATTAGTAATCTAAGGATAACAAAGGCACTGAACCATGGAACAAAAGCAGCTAATACGTAACACAAAGCCATAGCGATAAAGTTCGTGTAGGAGATCAGCAGACGACCGTATTTATCTGCCAGGGCGGGAAACAGTGCAGCTCCTATCATCTGACCAATCACCGTCACTGTAGTGGACAGACTCCCCAGGCCTTCAGCTCCGCATACAAGATTCCACTGAAGTATGTTGTTAATGTTATATTGATAATGTGAACTTCTGTCTTGTGTACTTTCAGAAGATCTAGAGTCTATTATTTGCCATGCATCATTACTTTTTTGTAATAGCGTTCAAAGTTAGATTTCGAAAATCTAGTTACATGTAGTAGAATTAGGGGGTAGACTTTACTTTACCGGTCCCCAGATCCGCAAGATATGCGCGCTCTTTGCACTATGACGTAAGATTTACGTCACGTAACCGATAAGGGTAAGTCTTGCACCCACTTGAAAGATTTGGGAACTTGTCCTTGCACAAGTTTTCGACTGATTAGGGTTAGTCTAGCATCTATCCGAGAGATTAGGGCTAGTCCTCGCACATGGGTTAGTCTAGCATCCGCTCGGGAGATTTGGGTTAGTCCTTGCATACATGTACCATTCGAGAGATTAGGGATAGTGTTCTTTTAGATAAATCAAGAATTCAGTTGCTTCTGTATTTTTCGCAAGATCTTAATTTAGCTTCAACGACATCTCATTGGTTTGTTTAAATACGAAAGAAACGGCACTAAGCATGAGCCGCACGCGCTTCCTTGACATTTATTTTTTGTCTCCTTTTCACTGAATAAACAATATTTATTGAAAATTTATTGCTTTTTTCCAAAGAATGAGGTTAAAAACTTCGTTTAAAAAAAAGGAGTTTTAAACTAAACTTTTAGCCATGGAATTCGATTTTGGGCTCAAAAAGGCTTAAAACCTCACGCGATCTCATATGTATTAAAGTCGCCTACGGCGACACTATATTTTAGCGCGTTTCCTGGGGACCGGTAAAGTCGTTCCGAATTAGGAATGTTATATTTCCAGGGGGAAAAAACAAAGTGTATGGCTTAAGTTCCATTCCTTACTTGAAAATATTCAGGTGTATCTATCCAAGACTAATTAATGACAGAAGCTTTGCTTGTTCAAAGCTGCACTCTATATTTCCAATACGAAAAACGTCACAAAAGGCATATTTTTGTCATAGTTCGATTGAATTGCGAAAATGGCATAATTTCTTATGTCATTTAAAGTCAGTGAGTGCATATATATGAGAAAACTGTAATGAGTTTATGCTAATACCTGAATCACATATAACAATGTTGAAGGGGTCAAAATTGACTCTTCTCATACATAGTCCTTTTCCTACTTGCATACTTTTCACTTGCAGAATTAAACTTATAATCTTCTTGGAACTTAAACTGAAAGGAATCTCTAAACCTTTCCTGGAATTTCATGTTTACTGAATATTTTACCTCTGATACAGTGGTTTCCTGGCCAGAAAATTCATATCCATCTCGGCATGGCAAAAAGTCCTGGGTAAGAATACCGGACCTGTTTGTTTCGACGATGACGTCACATTGACGCGAATGGATTGTAACGTTGTATGACACATTGGTGTCGGCGTAGTATTTTGTCACGTGATCACCAGGAAACTTACATTTAAAGTCTGGAATGTAACCTGAAATGTGGTAAAAATTAATATTTCGTTGTTGAATTACATATTTTTATTCCACTAAACAGATGCTCATTTATTCAAATTAACTCTACAGGAAAAACAATTTCAATATAACGCTTAAAAGTTCCTTTAAAGATTTAAAATGTCTGACATCAATTTCAATGCACTATTCCATTGCTTACTGAGATATCAAATAATAATTTGGAATGGTAGATGTATACATGATATAAGAAATGACTTTATTTGTTCTATAGTGTTGGGGTGATATATATAGGAGTACAGATAACAACATGAACAAATAATTTAATTTTGTTTGTATTCTAGCCTCTGATTGGTTAATATCCAAAAAGGAACACAAATTATTTCTGTATAACCTGGTTTGGTATGGGGACACACCCCCCTGACAAGCAGCTGAATCATCTGTATCCATACAGTCCTCTCATTAACAGTCCTCGGGATTCATGGAAAACTCCAGATTTAATAAATGTACCTTTAACTTCAAACAATAATTCGATCTTACCACATGTAAACGAACAACATGGCTGCTAGGCCTATGTATCAGTTTTTACCTCCCCTCGCTTCCCATCACTTCCGTTACTATGGTTGTATTATTGAGCGGCAAATTTAAACTAATAAAAAGCAACGAAATTTTACACCCATAGTTATTTAATGATTTTAAAATTAAATTATAAGGAATGACTCTAATTCTTGGCCAAATTATTCGAGTATAACCTGGTTTGGGTCAGTTTACGCTGTTTTATAATCCGCTTCGCGGATTATAAAGCGTAAACTGACCCAAACCAGGTTATACTCGAATAATTTGGCCAAGAATTAGAGTCATTCCTAAAATAACTTTATTATTCACAAATTCAGAGAAATAACACTTGTCTGAAAGTAATGCTTTTGTTTTGGAAGTATACGAATATTCGAGCAAGATTGTTTTTGATATCCCGTTATTTACACATGCACCTATTTCATTTTCTACACATAAAAAAATATATAAAACCAGAACATTTTTCTTATACGTGTACCTTGGAATATTTAAATTTGCAAAAGGTTTTTCCTTATATAACACTACTTGAGCAATGCCTATCTATATCTGTACTTTACTTACTTATATCTGTATAATTACAGGTTAGTCACATGACCAAAATTCATTGTGATGTTATAAACAGTGGACGTAAATTCTCAGCTATATCATAATGGATCAACGTATATTCAACTTTATAAATATATTTTTGGGTTAAAAGAACGAGGGCGCTTTTGAATGGCATTCGGCAGGAATCTGGGCGCACTTAAAAAGTGAAAATTTCATTAATCTGTCACATAAAATTTTAGCATTCTTTTGCTGTATTGGGTTCCTGTGAAATAGGAAATGGAAATATTTTCCCGATATTGTATTTTGATTTGCTAAAAAATAACTTGAAAATTGGCTGGATGAGTCATTTGGTACAAAATGTTACATTTTCAAACACGTTTTTCTAAAAATTTGCTACCTCTGGGTCATCTCTCCATGATTTTGAAACGTTATTTGTGTGCATTTTAATTCAAAGAAACGAATAAACATTTGTAAAAAATGGAGAGAAGACCCAGAGACAATTAAAAATGAACTTTTTCCAAAAAAATTCCAACGTGTAAATGCGGTGCTTCATTGTCGCTTTAAAAATCATAAAGTGTGTGGAGCGGTGATAGCTCAGTAGTATGCGTTACCCGTCCAGTGCAAAATATTTTTGGTTCGATCCTCGCATGGAGCGTTAATATTTTGTTTTTTAGTACAAACAATCAATTCTTTTGTCAGTTTAATTTTATGTACTGATTTATTTTCAAATAGATAAATTCTGGTTCTGTTGCACCGAAAGCGAAAGCAATTTTTCCAACCTACTGACACTTTAATATATACGACTGCCGTCATGAAAAAAGAACTGGTCATCTAACAAACCATCTTCGCTAGCCAAGAGTTTCTGATACGCTACTCTCCTCATAAACCCTTGGCATACGGTGCTGACAAAAGACGGGATTGTTTTTGTCACGTGATCATGATTCTTACCCACAGATTGCGTCATCGACAGAAATAAAAAGCGTATTTAAAAAAATTTTGTTTTTAAAGAATAATTAACAATATGTTAATTTGTTATTTAAACATGTAAAAATGCAAATCTACATCTACAGTATAGATTCTTTATCACATATTTTCAAATTTGCACGTTGCTTTAGATATCTTACGGATCATTATGTACTTGCGTTTTACATTACCGATGTTAAAGAGTCAAGATATATCCCGAACGCAAATATCGTCACTTACAAAAAACAATTGCTGATTGGTCGAACGATGTCGATCAACTCCAATCATAACTTGAGAAAAAAATCCCAACTTTTTTTAACACCGTATGCCAAGGGCTTATTAGGAGAGTAGCGTATCAGAAACCCTTGGCTAGCGAAGATGCTACCAAACATGCATCAACAGACATTGCAACAAATACTGAGAAGATTTTGTAATTGTAAATCTATCTTATAAATTAATAAATTTTGCAAATAAACTCCGAAACGGGTGTACCAGAGTTTTTACTTACCCCTCGAACAATAAACTAGATACAAGATGATGTCCGTAAACTATATTTAGATTTCATTCGCATAGTAAGTATCGTACATTAAATCAAAAGTCTACTTTCAATTTCTATAAACAGCCATGAAATAGCAAAAACGTGAGTACGGTGGCGTTTCCGGTTGGCGGATCTAAGTTACTGGCAATTTTTAATGACACTTACAACAAGCAATCGTTTATTTATTTCATAAAACGTCATCACTGAATTATTCTATCAAAACTTGATTTAAATGATATAAAAGAAATAAGTTGTGATAACCGATTAAAAAGGGAAACGTGCAAATTATTTTCGTCATTCACCGATCTTAATATTGACGGAAGCTTCTAGAACATCATATAGCATCGAGCCCGATGTTAAAAAGAAAAACGAGGCGATTACTACTGCATAACTAAAAAAGCTTTTGTGTGAATAGTCATTGAAATAATGGTAAATCATAACACTATTAGTTGTGAATATATTTATATATCGAAAGACTATTATATATACATGTATGTAGTAGGTTTTCCTAATAAATTTATCGGTAAAATTTGTATAGGCTATATTCCTTAATGAGGGCATCATGGCAACGAACCCGAAGTACAATTTGCACTTCGTAATAAACTTGCTTACATGAAAAGAAAAAAAATAATGAATAAGATATTGTTCAAATACAATTAAAGATGTAAAATTTTGTGCTTTAATCAATACATTCCAGTTTTTTTTTCTGAATACAGTCTTTTGTATCAAACACTCGGCCTATTAATAGGGCGTTAAAAGCTCATTTTTACACAGGTACTTGGGTCTTGGTTTATAAATATGTATGTACCTTATTGATATGTAAAAAAGGAAAAGTAAGTAAAGTACATTTTTTTACGTATCAATAAGGTACAAACATGTTTATAAGCCAAGACCCAAGTACCTGTTAACCCCCCCCCCCTAAAAAACTCAATTAATCAGTAAAATGTGCGTACTCGCTGCTTTTATCCTTGACGGAAATGAAGTAAGAGCATCTGAAGTTCAATGTCCATAACACAGGTTTCACAATAAACGTCAATTAATGAAATTGTTATTTTTTATTAAGTTTTTAAAAAAGGGGGGGGGGGGTGGTTGGTTGGGGTGGAGACGTACATCTACTTCATGCGGGATTTTGAACAAAATATTTCTTCCTGCTATAAGTCTGTAGGCTGTCAGTAGAAACTATAAAATATTTTCAGTCGGTAGTGGTATAAATTCAATTCCCCGCGCTTGTGCGGGATTTCATCTAGTATAATGTATTTGAGACAAGAGATTTCCAGTCAACAATCATTGATTGGATACTTTTCTCGGAGATAAAAAAAAATAATAAAGAAATAAAGACATCGACAATCATGTCATATATAGCTTGTATTAGAAAATGGTAATGAACAGTTTGCTAGTGCATTCTCTCTGAAACAATAATGCATGCGATTCTGGGGAGGGGTACTACATGTAATTCGGAGTTAGATACCGTATGTTATTATAATACTATGGGGTAAAAATTGTAGTACAGAAACAAGTGTTTATGATTTGAGGCAACAGCTATTAGAATGATCACATTTACATGTACTCACCCACAAATACATAGATTACAACAGGATATGTAACGATCGGCAAACAAATCAGATTATAAGCATACTGTAGCACTTGGTATCGCCCATAATTTCCTAAGGACCTGAGAATATTGTCTACATCCATTGTTATAAACTCTAGGACTATCGATATGCTCCAAATGTTAATTCTTTATATATTCAGCAGCATGTCTAAGTTAGTGAGAGGCAATATATTAAAGATAGACATTGCGTTGTCTTAACCATCCTTATATAATTTAAACCTCATCTTTACGGATGACTATTTTGAAATCAAATTATATCTTTTTTTCATTGAAAGGCATGACATTTTATATATAACTCTAAAGAAGATGGGTGAACATGAAGGTGAAAAATTAAATTTCAATTATATCAAAATTTTCCAAGATATTACATTTAACATTAAAATATGCTTTATGTAAAATCTCTACAATTGGCAAAAATCTTATGAAAATTAAAATTATTTGCTTATGAAATATTATACACACACTAAAGAGGACAAAAAGAGTCATTTTCTCATACTAGAACACTATTTTTCGATATGAGTGGGTCTTAATTCGCTCCATTTTTTTGAAAGTTAATCCTCAAAGTTTACATAAAAATATACATTTTTTGGTTACGAAAAATATGGAGCAAAGACCCATTATACCTTAAAAATATACTTAAATGACATAACATTCGCATCTTTTCGAGAAATACTTGAAGTCCATTAAGTCAAGGGTCATATCACAAACATGATTTAAATGCCACTATTCATCAGGACTTGTGTAGACTAGTGGTTAGCGTGCTAGTCTCGAAAGAAAATGATACTCAGGATTTTTATTGCTCGGGTTCAAATACCACATTATTTTTTAATATAAGAATAAATTTTGCCGAGAAAATTTTCCTCAGAAAATTTTTGTTTATCATAATTTTATAAATTTCAATAATGAGAACTTTACTCTAAATACTAAATTCACAAATTGAACATGATTTTTATATATATGAAGCTATAGGCTTTCTGCATGCTATGTTCGCCCATCTCCTTAAGACTCGCATTTCATCGGCAAACCCAAGTAATCTTTCATATTAATGAATTAAAAAATAATCTTTTATTTATGTCTTTCTTTAGGGGTGTAGAAAGCACACTGCTCCATAAGAATTTTTTTTCTCAAAAACTCAAGATTATATAGGTACATGCACGTATGTCCATTTCATGGCATATATAATCGAGGTATTTTTGATGCAACCCTCCTTGTCTTCAAACCATAAACCGTGATCTGACTGAATGCAAAATTAGAAAAAAGATTATAAAAGCCAAATCAGGCAATAAAGAAAACTGTTAATTGAATCATTGTAGTCTAAACAAATAAGGTACCAGTATTTAGAAAACTACTTTACCTTTCGTCTCATACTTATTGCAGAAAGTTTTTTTTGTTCGTGTTGTTTTACGTCCACTACGAGAATTTTTCACTCATATGAGACGTCATCTTATACCTTTAAAGGGCTTCAAATTTAGACCTATAGTCAGCACTCAGAGCAATTAAGCAGTGAGGATTCTTTATCGTGCCAGAGCCTATCGTGACGAGGGACCTCGTTTTTTTAACGGTCTCTAAAGACCCGACTTTCACTTCTGATCCTTGGCGGAGGAAAAGTTACCACGGTACCTATTTTATATGTCTAACGGAACTAGAACGAAAATGGAACCCAGTGCCCAGAAGAAGCGAGCGCTCTACCACTACACTACCACGCCTAAACTTCAGATTAGGGAGACATTCATATTCATTTGACTTAATAATGTAAACCGATATATATCCTTTAACTGATTTACTTAACAAAAACAGATAAGTGATTCCCAGCATCTTTATTTTAATCATACATTCATACTCCTTATAATGTGTCTGTTCCATATTTTAAGTTCTTAAAGAGACAAAAACAAAATTCCAACTTCTCTAAAAATTTCTCCGTCATATGTCGGTGCAAACATTATGAAAAATTGATACGACTGGTTACAGACTTATTACATGTAATATCAAATTAAAATAAAATCTGTCATCTATGAACATGTTTGTCGTACATATACATAATCGTATATTAGATTTACAGGAAAGAGACAAAAGTGATCCAAATTCTTATGTCTTTATCTGGACCACTTTAAAACGTACAAAAAAAAAAAACAAAACAAAACAAAACAAAACAAAAAAAAAAAAAACAAAAAAAAACGCTGTACATTAATTAATATACGTAAGCAGTCAGGGGCATAATGCAAACAAGTTATTGTCAAAAATAACTCAAATAAGTTATTTTTTTGTCACAGTGAGTTACCTCTCTTTGCTATGACCTACTTTTTCCCAGCATTAGTAACTCAAACACGTTATCTTTCCAAAATAGTTTCAATAAATTAATAACTTGTTTAAGTTATTTTGTGTCATTCCTCCCTAACTTCACACCCTGTGCACCAAAGGTTTTTGCTTGTGCACCAAGACAAAAACAAATGTTTGAAAAAACATTTGATATGTTTGATATAAAAAATTGGACATATAAACCATGTAAATAAAACCACAAAATAAGGATTAAACTGCTGTTTATCTCCACCTCCTCACCAATTCTCTATTGGAGTCGGTGCACTCCATCTAGTATTACATAATGAAATCCCAAAATGCAATGCATATTGGCAGGAAATATAAAACTCCCAAGAAATCAATGTCCAAGTAGGATATAAAAATAACTTATTTAAGTTATTATTAAAAAAAATTTTGTGTGTGTAAAATAACTTATTTAAGTTATTTTTCTGATAACTTGTTTGAGTTATACCCCTGACTGGTAAGTAAGTCGAATGTTGAACATTTACTTGATACCTTATAACAAAAAAAAAAAAAAAAAACCTCCTTCCGTACCTAAATAATGAAGTACCGGTATATCATTAATTATAGTGTCCATCTATGATGATAAATGAACAGCATTGATAAGAATTGGTGTATAAAAGATTTTACAGGGAATCCAAAATGCATTATTCATAAATCTTATTATGCTGAATGATTAGCTGTGTTGGAGTAATTATAAGATGAACATACATGTAAATGTACAAGGACATTGACTTAAAATGATACAAATGTTCCTTGCCTATAAAATAAAGATCATTTTGTAGCCACAGAAAAGCAAAGCTTCTAGTTATGACAGGGTGATCCAACAAAATACACTGTACCATATTAAGGTACATGTACAATACAACATAAAGCAGACATTTTTTTATGTATGCGAGGAATACTGCTACAACATAAAGCAGACATTTTTTACATGTAAGAAATACTGCACCGAGTAGATTATACTTTGAATATCAATATTGAGTAACGTACATAAAATTTATACTGTCAAAATTACAATCTTAGAACTGGACTAAATTATGGAACTCAATCACAAGAACAATCCGAGAAGAACGTACTCAACAAGGAGAATATGAGATACTCATACAGTGGAACCTCAACATCTCAAAGATGGTAAGACTGTTCATAACTTTGAACTACTGTAAATGTACTTTTTTTTCACTGGGTCATAATGCCATGGAATCACAATTTCTGTTTAATACCAGGATAGAAAATTCTGCGGATGTCTTGGATTGCTATTGTATATCTTAGAAGCACTCTCAGAATGCTGCAACAAATTTCTGCAGAAAATTTGTGAACCACCTACATACGGTAAATTAATCCTAAGCTGAAAAAAAAGTGTATTTACAGTATCTGAGTGTTCTACATATTCATAATGAACCTTGAAGGAATAATAACATCTTCACCATTGACTTCCTTTGCCATGTCCCTGGTGTTGGGAAAAACTGATGTTCAATAAACAAATGTACAACTTTACGCAATGATGAACAACGTGTGAAATACAGGTTTTAAAAGCAAATTGAGGACATTTGCAAAAGTGTTTTAATCACAATAAGAGAGGATCAACTCGATCTGGCAATTAACACAGTGTTGGACATGCTTCTTCCAATTCAAGCAGAGAATTTCAGTGAAAACTTTAAAAAGTGAGAAGTGCACATTGATATCATCACCAAAGCTTCAGAATGCTTTCATTTGAAATTTCATATGAATCGTACAAACATGATGATAACATGAATATCTCTGAATAATTAAAAAGTTCTGTCATCCAATCAAAGTTCACAGATATTCACATAACAGCATTCAGCCCATGAAAAATGATCGTTCACACCCTCACTCCACAAATTATAATGTCATGAAATCCCATGATGCTACAGCAACATATCCCAGGATGCTACAGTCACGTCCTGACCACTTCCTTCCCGGCCATGACCTGTTTTATCTCCTCCATATCTAGAGTCTCGTACTTCATTAAGTTTTCTGCGAGTTTCTTCAGTTTGTCTTTTTTATTTGTCAGTACTGTTTTGGCTCGACAATAAGACTCCTGTAAAAATAAAGATGATTGACACTAAACTCATTTTTCTGTAACTTAAAAAGACAAGGCATATTACTGGTAATTGATGGTAACTTTAATTGAACTACATGTCCCTAATGGCTAACTGTAAATAAACTCTGATTTACTTTTTAACATTTCATTTTAACCTGTACATTCCTATATCACATGTACAGATGAACTTCTGTATCTCAAACAAAGATATCCCAAATACCACAGAGATCTCAAAGTCATTTTAGAGTCCCAACCACTTTTTTTATGTATTTAACCTTCAATATATTGAACCCATAGATATCTCAAAAAATTTTCCTCTGTCCCATTGCATTCGAGATAATGAGCTTTAAATGCAAATTGGAAACATCTTAATTTATCTGTTTATATACATATTAAAGAATAATGGTATTTTACCTGAAAGGTAAGCATGGACTGATAATAAAGGTTATTTTCCATTTACCACCTTTTTACAATTAATCCTAGATTATAAGGACTCTGTACCTGTTAACAGGAATTGTGATTGACAAAGTTGTCTTACCTGAAGAAGTTGATTGACTTTGATGTCTTACCTGAAGAAGTTGATTGACTTTGATGTCTTACCTATAGAAGTTGATTGACTTGATGTCTTACCTATAGAAGTTGATTGACTTGATGTCTTACCTATAGAAGTTGATTGATTTCTTTGTCTTACCTGAACTTGCTGAAGTAATTGATTGATTTTTTTCTCTTACCTGAAGTAATTGATTAATTTTGCTGTCTTACCTGTAGAAGTTGATTGACTTCGTCGTCGATTTCTTTCCTCATGTGAGAACTCAGTAACTGTAGGTCTTCCTCGCTGTAGACACGAGCTCCAAGCTACAATACAGATACAAGTTACCAATACCACTGACTATTTCCATTTTTGTAGAAGTTAGAATTGTAAACTATAGAAATTAAGAGAAAAGTAACATCATTTTTATACAAAATTATAAGATAATCAAGCCTTATAGCACTGTAGATAAAAATTTCATAATTTCCTTACAGATTAACATGTACAGGTAAATTAAGATTTTTGAAGTAAATTAAAGCATTAAATTTATTCAGAACATGCAGACATAGTGACTGTCTGAGTAAATATAAGGAAATATTGCACTCCATCTGAAGGCATTGTCCATTGAGCCCACCTGTTGTAACACAATACGGTATAACAACTTTTATCTGTGTGTGAGAAATATCCACAAGTTCTGTGAACTTCTTTTATTTTTGCCACAAACTATTTATTTCATTGCGCATTTAAGTCAAATTCTTACTTAATCATGAAAAATTAGTCGTCATGAATAGATTTTAAACTGACAAATCGTGGATAAGTTGGCTTACAATAATTATTATATTATTTTATCCTTTACAAAACCAGTAATCACTTACCGACTCTGACATTCCATACATCATCACCATACTCTTGGCTATTTTTGTTGCCTGACTGAAGTCGGAGGCTGCTCCTGTAGGACAGAAAATAAAACTGTCAAATAAAGATGGACAACATAAAAACCTCTGCTATTCTTCACTGATGACAGCCAATTTTAGCATTAAAAAAATAATTTCATCTTCAATGATGACTTTCCCTTTTAATGCATTTTCCTTAATGTTACTTCGTCCTTCTCTATTAGAAAAAAAATTGCCATAACCAGGCCTCAGGATCATCAAATACATTTCAGATTTAAGTCAGAATTTGTTCACTGTCTCAGAGTTTTATAATAATTATAGAAAACAATCTGAAATGTTAATTAGATTTGTTTCTCTTTCAAAGTTTTAATTTTAATTTTCAAGAATTTATGGTAAATTTCATTAAATTTGTGAGTGACTGAAATTTTGTCTTGTCTAAACTGCTTCAGATTCTGGGGCCAGGACAATTCTATTTCAATGAACACAAGACTTTTTTTTTTTTTCTCTTCGAAATACTGAACAATTTCAACTGGGAGCAGAAATTATGATAACAAAATCTGTAGATAGATATTTGGAAAGTTGTCAAACTGTTTGAAAAAATTTATATCTCTAAGGCAAAGCAAAAGAAACAAAAATATTGCCTTTCTTTATTGTCAAAATTTTTTAAATGCACATGTAAAATATAGGAGGTAGGGCTTATACTTTTATTGCAAGAGTTATCTTTCTTTTTACTTATCACCATATTTTATATTGAAAAGGGTAAATTCCAAAACAAAATGTAGGCATTTCCCTTTCCAGCACATCAATAAAATTGATTAATGCAGTAGCACTTGGTATAATGTGGAAATGTATGAGAAACAAAATCTTAATTTTCTTTGACCTAATTTTGTAAATTTCACTACTTAGAATTCTATATTAGATTCCAGTATAAAATCTTACTCCTAAACTTTGTTTTGTTAGTGGGAGTTAAGATATGACTCTGACCTGTTGTGACTTTATCAGTTCCAAACATGATTTCCTCTGCTACCCGTCCCCCCATCGCAATGTCCATCTGAGCCATCAGCTGGGCCCTGCTGTGTGTGTACTCCTCCTTCTCCGGCAGAAACTGGGTCTGGAAAATCAACAAGAGGCCCATGGGCCACATCGCTCACCTGAGTAACTTTGGCCATGCTGTTCATTACTAGACTTCCCCCCTTGTAATACCTATTGTGGCCCCGCCCTACCCCCGGGGGTCATGATTTTAACAATTTAGAATCAACACTATCCCAGGATGCTTCCACATAAGTTTCAGTTTTTCTGGTCCAGTAGTTCTTGAGAAGATTTTTAAAGATTTTTCCTATATATTTCAATGTTTCCCTATTGTGGCCCCGCCCTACCCCCGGGGTCATGATTTGAACAATTTAGAATCTACACTATCCCAGGATGCTTCCACATAAGTTTCAGCTTTTTTGGCTCAGTGGTTCTTGAGAAGAAGATTTTTAAAGATTCTTCCTATATATTTCAATGTAAAACTTGGATTCCCTATTGTGGCCCCGCCCTATCCCCGGGGGTCATGATTTGAACAATTTAGAATCTACACTATCCCAGGATGCTTCCACGTAAGTTTCAGCTTTTCTGGCTCTGTGGTTCTTGAGAAGAAGATTTTTAAAGATTTTTCCTATATATTTCAATGCAAAACTTGTATTCCCTATTGTGGCCCTGCCCTACCCCCGGGGGTCATGATTTGAACAATTTAGAATCTACACTATCCCAGGATGCTTCCACGTAAGTTTCAGCTTTTCTGGCTCAGTGGGTCTTGAGAAGAAGATTTTTAAAGATTTTTCCTATATATTTCAATGTAAAACTTGGATTCCCTATTGTGGCCCCGCCCTACCCCTGGGGGTCATGATTTTTACAATTTAGAATCTACACTACCCCAGGATGCTTCCACATAAGTTTCAGCTTTTCTGGCCCAGTGGTTCTTGAGAAGAAGATTTTTAAAGATTTTTCCTATATATTTCTATGTAAAACATTGATTCCACATTGTGGCCCCGTCCTACCCCCGGGGGTCATGATTCGAACAATTTAGAATCTACACTACCCCAGGATGCTTCCATATAAGTTTCAGCTTTACTGGCCCTGTGGTTCTTGAGAAGAAGATTTTTTAATGACCCCACCCTATTTTTGTCTTCTCTTGATTATCTCCCCTTGTGAGGGGACTTGGCCCTTCATTTTAACAATTTAAATTCCCCTTCACCCAAGGATGCTTTGTACCAAGTTTGGTCAAAATTGGCCCGGTGGTTCTTGAGAAGAAGTCAAAAATGTGAAAAGTTTACAGACGGACGGACAGACAGACAGACAGACGGACAGACGGACGGACGACGGACAAAATGTGATCAGAAAAGCTCACTTGAGCCTTCGGCTCAGGTGAGTTAAAAAATTATAATCCTGACTGTGTCAATCTCTATCTCAAAGAGGATTTGAATTGGAACAGTTGGGGGGGGGGGGGGGGGGCTCACATCACAAAGTGCTCCTGCATACTGAATCTACTTTATAATCAGAAAACTCAACTAAAATGCTGTGTCTTTTTTTTTTTTTTTACCAGGGGATGGATTTAACATGAACCTGACCCTGTGTTTGACAATATCATGAATTTATAGACTATAGTGCTGAGGCTGTTATCAATTGAAATTTGTTTTAAAGAGAGCTGCCAATATCATACAATGATAAGGATGGGGTCCAGGGGCTGCCTTGGCCTCAGGCCCTGAGATTTTTTTTCCCAGTTTGTTTCCTGTAAAATGATTTAGATAGCTAGCTGGCAATGAATCAGATAATGACAATATAAGCAAGAGCTGTAAGGACTATGACTGTTTTTCACAATATAGTGAAAACTGAAGGTGGATAGCTATGAAAATACCTGTACTTCAAACTAATGACAGAGAAAATTAGGAATCAAGAGAATAAACAGAGATGTGGCAAGGCATATTTTAGATGCTCAAACTGTAAGCTTTATGCCAAAATTGTACATGTAGGCAGCTCTGATTACAGACTGGGGGAGGAGGGATTAACTTACATGATCACGTTTCATCATTTTGGTTATATAGATTTGGGGAAGGGGGATAACTTACATGACCCAGCGCCTGTCCACGTTTCATTATTGTAGCTTTATAAACTAGAGAGGATGAGCTCTTGGACTCCAGCCCCACTATCGCATGACCCGCCTCGTGAATTGCTGTCACCCAGTTGGCCTCCTCATCTGGGGTTCGGGTCTTTTTTTCTGCACCTGTACAGAGAATTCGTACAAAAAATGTAAATATCCTTCATCTTCTCAACACAGAAGTGACTGGTTTCAATGAGATCCATTCAATGCAAATAATCCAACTATCTCATCACATACACAATGTGAGATCAAGGTTCAATGATATGATTTCTAGTCACTTCCTTTACTTCTGAGTAAATTTAGTCCATAACAGTAACAAATATAATCATTGAGTCTTGACAGTGTAACTTAAAGAGATGGTGACCATTCTAAATTCAATATTTGTCTATAAATGACACAACCCATTATTTCTAATAAGTCCACAAAATCTTGACAGTCACAGATATATTCCTGTAGCTTAGAAGAGAGACTTACTCATGAAAATCTTATCCTTTGCCCACTCTGACTTATCAATGAGTATTTAATCCTTTGCCCACTCTGACTTCCCCATGAGTCTTATCCTTGGCCCACTCTGACTTCCCCATGAGTATCTTATCCTTGGCCCACTCTAACTTACCAATGAGTTCTTATGCCTGGCCCACTCTGACTTACCCATAAGTTCTTATCCCTGGCCCATTTAGACTTACCCATGAGTATCTTATCCTTGGTCCACTCTGACTTGCCTATGATCTCTTATCCTTGGCCCACTCTGACTTACCCATGAGTATCTTATCCTTGGCCCACTCGAGGTGACTCATACATACAATGTTGGCTCCGTCTTTAGCCGCCTTAAGTGCAGCCTGATTCACCAAGTTACTGATATCTGCACCTGATTAAATAAACAAAGTCTAAATGCCTCAAAAATTAACGATAATTGCAATCTTATGCACAGCTCTCAGATGCAATTCATCAAGTCTCAGAATATATAGCCTTGTTTTCATACTGATTTAATTTATGAAGGATGAAGCATCATTACAAAAATGAAAATCAAATCATAATCTTTTACTGATAAAATGAAACCAGGAAGTTTTAAAATAAAACATTTCTTAAGTATTACCTGTCAAACCAACAACACCTTTTGCCAAATTCTCCACATTGATAGCTGGAAATGGAAAAAAAAAACAATGTATAAAATTATGAGATATATTGTATACAGTACATACATGTATAAAACCAGTCTTGCAAAACTGACCTTTAAAAATTTTGATATGATTTATTTCATATACAGTTGAACTTTGGTATCTCGAACATGGATATCTCGAACACCATGGACACCTTGGAGTCCGAAATTCTTTTTCTTTACATACATGTATTTAACCCTTAATACCCTGGATATCTCATTTTTTCTCGGTCCAATGGAGTTCGAGATAATGAAGTTTGACTGTATATAAATGTACTGTGCCAGACCTCCTTTTCACTTTCCCAGGTAAAGTTTGAAAAGTTTTGTCAGTTCATACTTACTTTGGTCACTCTTGAGCTTGCCCAGGTGAAGTTTGAACAGTTTTGTCAGTTCATTCTTACTTGGGTAACTCTTGGCCTTGCCCAGGTAAAATTTGAACAGTTTTGTCAGTTCATACTTACATGGGTCACTCTTGACCTTTCCCAGGTAAAGTTTGAACAGTTTTTCCCTTCCTTTTTGGTCTGGTCCTTCTACAGAAATGTGCATGTCAAAACGTCCAGGACGCAGCATAGCTCTGTGATAAACACAAACAATGAATAAGAACAAGAACAAGGTAAATGTGCATGTCAAAACGTCCAGGACGCAGCATAGCACTGTGATGAATACAAACAATGAATAAAAACAAGGTAAATGTGCATGTCAAAACGTCCAGGACGCAGCATGGCACTGTGATGAATACAAACAATGAATAAAAACAAGGTAAATGTGCATGTCAAAACGTCCAGGACGCAGCATAGCACTGTGATGAATACAAACAATGAATAAAAACAAGGTAAATTTGCATGTCAAAACATCCAGGACGCAGCATGGCTCAGTGATGAATACAAACAATGAATAAAAACAAGGTAAATGTGCATGTCAAAACATCCAGGACGCAGCATGGCTCTGTGATGAATACAAACAATGAATAAAAACAAGGTAAATGTGCATGTCAAAACGTTCAGGACGCAGCATGGCTCTGTGATGAATACAAACAATGAATAAAAACAAGGTAAATGTGCATGTCAAAACGTCCAGGACGCAGCATAGCTCTGTGATGAATACAAACAATGAATAAAAACAAGCTGTAAATATTCTGTTTCTCAAATTCTCTCATTAAACTTTTTACATGTTGCATACCAAACAAAATCCCTAAAGTAAATTTTTAAAAATGTTGAAATCTGTTTCCTTTAACAAATTCTATTCTTGAAAGAGAAGCACAACAAAGACTAAGTGATCTCTGATTGGTTAAAACAATTAACAATATGACTTCTGATTGTTGGTTACAACACTTAACATTATGACCTCTGATTGATTATAACATTTTACGTGACATAAACTTACGGATCAATAACATCTTTTCTGTTTGTTGCTCCAATCAAAATGATCCCCGATGACTGCTCAAATCTAAAAATAAACAATGATGCAATTAAAAGTATGGAACCCAAAGTATTTCAGATCTTACATCAAGTACGCCTACTATATCTTGAAATTCAAACTACTGTAGATTCCTAAATACCTATTATAAGAAATTAATTATCTTGAAATTTTCTGAGAAACATCAGCCACGAAATAAAATTACTCGCTTTAATTTTTTATGGTTCTGAAATCCATGTAAAATCTCTAGATCAACCATCCACTCGTGAATTATTGCTTTTGTTACATGATATCTAAGGGCTATTTTGCGCTATTAAGTAAAATAAGAAATCTGCACTATGAATGGTCCATACCCGTCTAATTCTGTCAATAGCTGGTTAATACACTGATTGGCTGCGGGGTGCACAAAAGGACTAGATGTTCGCTTTGCAGCTAAACTGTCAATCTCATCAATAAACACAATACAGGGGGCGTTTCTCTTTGCTGTAACTGAAATCAAACCAGATATGTCATTATTGATTCTTTATCAATGAAAATTGTCCCTTGTGATACTTAATGTTGTTCACAATAAATTCATGGTGAATCTGCCCCCCCCCCCCCCCTTGTTAATTTGCAATGATAAATAAAATTTATTTTTTTTCCCAAATGTATAAAAAAAAAAATCAGGGCACAGCATTAAGGCACATCCCAAAGACTCTGAATAGTAAAAGATTGGTCAAGTCTAATTATTTTGCATCATGGTACTGTTAATCACTTTTATTTGTGAGAACTTTATTTCCCAATAAAAACATTAGCACCCTGCTCATGAAAATTTCATTCTCACATATACTAGTATTTTTAAACATTATACAGAACATAACCAGAAATACAGCATCTTGGCAAAGTAAGGGTGGCCAGCTTGACAAAGAAAGGGCAGTCAACTTGACAAAGTAAGGGCTGCCAGCTTACCAAATAACTCTCTCACTCTCTTAGCTCCTACACCCACAAAAACTTCCTCAAACTCTGACCCCGCGGCAAAAATAAATGGCACTCCGGCCTCTCCTGAAAAGGAAACATAAAATAAAAAATTACTATTTCCCCTGACACTTTTGTAAAATAAGTAAACGTGATTCACATAAGAAAAAAAGTAAGGTTTTAAATGGACAGTTCCTATATTGTTAATACAGTTGGACTCTGGTATCTCAAAAACTGATATCTAGAATATTAAGGATTAGTCAAAGTGATTTGAAAGTTCTAACCACTCAATCCATCAGTATTTTGCCCTAAATATCTCGAATCTCCGCATTCTCAAAGTTTTTTTTTTGGTCTCATAGAGTTTGATATAATGAAGTTTGACTATATTAAATTCAATGATGTCATCATTACCCGCTACAGCTCTGGCTAATAGTGTCTTTCCCACTCCTGGAGGCCCATCCAATAAAATTCCTACAAAAAATACAATGTCCTCTAGAGCAACACTTCAAAGACAAGAATGCATCACGTATCTGTTTATCTAAAACTCACTTCATATGTCTTTTTTGTACTATTATGCAATTTTTGAGGGTTTTTTTTTGTATTCCTATGTAAAACATTGATCACCCATTCAGGCCCCACCCTGCCCCTGGGTTAATTATTTGAACAATTATGAATATACACTATGTCAGGAAGCTTTCATATAAGTTTCCTCTTTTCAGGCCCAGTGGTTCTTGAAAAGATTTTTAAATGACCCCACCCAATTTTCACTATTTCTTAATTACCGATACTCCCCCCTCCCCTCCCCCCCTTCTGGAAGAAGGTATGGCCTTTCATTTGAACAAACTTTAATTCCTTCACAAAAGGATACTCTGTGCCAAGTTTGGTTGAAACTGGCCATGTGGTTCTGGAGAAGAAAGATGAAAATATGAAAAGTTGAAGACAACTAAAATGACAATAATGACAGACTAAGTATGCAAAAAAAAAAAACAACATATATAGCTTTGGCTCAGTTGAGCTAAAAGGTTTTCAATTCTACTCATTACTTCTCTGTTCACAAATTTGTATTGCTTTTATGTTTTTTTTTAATTTCTTAGATTAATCCCTGTTCATTATTTTCACCTCATTTTTTTCCATGATAAGTATTATGGACCACACAAATGTTTACCTTTAGGTATCTTGGCACCAACTTCTGTAAAACTTCTTGGATTCTGCAAGAACTTAACAACGTCCATCATGTCTTCTTTGGCTTCATCCATCTGTACAATTTTAGGTAATTTATGCAGAATTTATGGGAATTTTTGCAAATAAGGTTTTTTACCCTTGGATTTAAGATTATAAATGTATTTAAGATTAACTAAAGATATTTAATATTTCAGATTTAAGATTAAGATCAGTTATCTATCAATTTTGAAGTTATCTCTATAAGAAGGCAGTCATTATTTTCCCATAAAATCCAACCAAAACCCAGTGACTCGAACTTTGCAAAATTGAACTGTACTCCTATACAAATACATAATCAATCCTCAGTACTTAAAGCTTAGCAAACCTGACAACTTATTCTCCCAGAAAAATACAAGGTCACATTAAAACCTCAGTATTAGTACTTAATTCACTTTTTCTTAAATTCACCACTGGATTGAGAGCATGAATATAACAAATATCAGCACATCCACAGTTTCAGAGCTACCAACAAAAGGAAATGAAAATTCACAAGGTGAAGTCTAAGGGTTGTCAATATGACGACTATTATTGGTCAAATACTTAAAAACAGAACTGCATTCAATGATCATGTTTGGAATAGTTAATGTCATGTACGACACTGTAAAATGTTGTTTTCATGTAACGAATGCGAAGTATGATGTCCGTATTACAAAGAATGAATAAATAAACATGAAATGACGATAATGCATTTTTTGCTTTACACAGTTTGATATTCATCTAAATTACATAAAAATAACGTTGTTTTATAAAAAAAAAAAAAAAAAAAAAAAAAAAAAAACATGTGTAAAAGGTTAGCACTGCATGAAAATCATTACACCTGGTAAGACTAATTTTAAAACCTGTCAACAAACTTGGAAAATTCCGGACTATTGAAAACTCAAACTCTTGATCTCTTGAAGTTTTTCATCGGTCCCGCGGACTTCGAGGTATCTCGAGTTACCTGTAACTGGTATAATAATGAATCCTCGTGGAGGGCAGATTTAAAATGCCAGCATTTCCAACTTTTAATGGGGAAATACAGAAATTGGAAGAATAAACAGAGAAATCCTAAGGTTTATCTTTGACATTCAAATGTTAATCTTACACCAAATTGGTAAGAGTTGGCATATCTGTAAGTTATGTAAACATATCAACTTACTCCCTGTACGTCTTCAAATTTTTCTTTTATACTTTCTTTGTCAACAATGGTGAACGTCTTTGTGTTGTTCAACAGCTTTGCTACAAACAAAAGAAAAGTTTTTCATGTTACATGAATGTAAGGCTGTTATTTTAATATGTAATCCATGAAGACATTTAGGATAGTTAGACTTTTTGTCATGAATGGTGACCGAGCACAAAAATAGCATAGCTGACCTTTTCAGAGACTGTCAGCACAAGTTATAGTATTGATAAAACCTGATGAAAATTGTAAATGTTAACAAAACAGTAGTTCACTATTTAGATGTGCAAATTAAAACTATTGGTAAAAGTGTGATAAAAATGTAGATGCCAATCTACATGGTAAATATTTAAATTAACAGGAATTATGATCATAATGAAGGAATGTGATAGCAATGTAGATGATATTATAGATGTAAACTCCTACTGGAGTGGTAGAGGAATGTGATGACAAGGTAGATGAAAATATAAATGTACACATTTACTGGAAAAATGTTACAACAATATAGATGATTACACTTACTACAGCAGGAGAAGAATGTGATGATTTTGATGATAACACTAACTGAAGCGGTAGAGGAATTTGATGATGATTTAGATGAATACACTTACTGGAGCGGTAGAGGAATGTGATGATGATTTAGATGAAAACACTTACTGGAGCGGTAGAGGAATGTGATGACAAAGCCGAGGAGCAGCACTCTGAGGAGATAGCTAGTGAACGTGTTGAGGACCTGAGACATGGACTTTTTCTTCTTCTCCTCCTTGATCTGTTCTATAAGGGTCAGGTACTTCTCCTCTAGACGCTTCATCTGTTGTGACTTCAGGAGGTCAGCATTTGTGTTTGTCTTGGAGCTGGCAAAGTCCTGTTAAAAATAACAATGAGAGGTTAACTATAGTGAAGTTTATCTACTCTGTAGATAAACTGTCAAAATTTTGTTAACAACCCAGAGATGAAAAAATAAATAAATAAATATTCAGGTTTTAAAGTTGTCTATCTTTCATTTCTCTCCATCTATTACTCAAGAGATATCAACTTTTACACTGTATTTATATTAGTTTCAACCTCAACTCTGCTTAAATCCTCTTAATTTTCATGTTATTTTGATCAAAGCTTTCATGTTTATCATTCTTTCCTTTTTAAACACTTTATACACCAAGATTTAACATGTACATTAATATTTTTTTTAATTTGGTACATATAAGGGATGTTTGTTATCCATGAATTACCTTCAATGTTGCTTGCACTCTTGATTCAAAATTTGTTAAGATCTTTTTGATCTGGAAAAAAAAAAAAATAATAGACACCATTAAATCAACCAAACACAATGATCTAGTCTATGCTAAGGGACAATCAGCAAATCAGCCAATCAATGCTAAGTAACAACATTACAATAACCAATCAGTGATTAGGGACTGTACATCAACCAATCAATGCTAAGTAACAAACATTAATATAGCCAATCAGTGAAACAGGACTGTACATCAGCCAATCAATGCTAAGTAACAAACATAACAATAGCCAATCAGTGATAAAGGACTGTACATCAGCCAATCAGTGCTAAGTAACAAACATTACAATAGCCAATCAGTGATTAGGGACTATACATCAGCCAATCAATGCTAAGTAACAAACATTACAATAGCCAATCAGTGATAAGGGACTTGAGACCAGTCAGTCACATTTATAATGGACAATCAGTACATCTAATCAGTGGTAAAGGATAACACTATTTCAGGAATATTCTTACGTCACTCAAGTCCTGCCTTCCTGTCTCCATCCCCGTGTCTCGTCGGATGTGAAATCCTCGAATTTGTGTGTGTCCTGATTAAAAAAAAAATTCTTTATCTTTTGAATACTGTAGATAATTAAATTTTTGCAACAACTTATTTTTGTGAAATAGGGATTTGGTATTTATAAGTGAGACATTTTTTTTTAAGAATTCAGGTTTTTGTTGTACATTATTTATGATAATAAATTTTTATAATATATGCAAAATTCAATTTTTCTTTTCGCCGTACCATCTTGTATAATTATACGGAAATAAATGTCATGAATGAAGAAGTGATTTACTGCAATTTTCACAATTAATACTATGTTTCTTAAGAATTTATACCAAGCTACCCTTCATATAGTTTAATACTCTCTCTTAATATTAAAAACAAGAGGCCCATGGGCCACATCGCTCACCTGAGTAACTTTGGCCATGCTGTTCATTACCAGACTTCCCCCCTTGTATTACCTATTGTGGCCCCGCCCTACCCCCAGGGGCCATGATTTGAACAATTTAGAATCTACACTACCCCAGGATGCTTCCACATAAGTTTCAGTTTTTCTGGTCCAGTGGTTCTTGAGAAGATTTTTAAAGATTTTTCCTATATATTTCAATGTAAAACTTGGAAATCCCTATTGTGCCCCCCCCCCCCCCCCATCCCTGGGGTCATGATTTGAACATTTTAGAGTGTATACTACTTGAGGATGCTTCCACATAAGTTTCAGCTTTTCTGGCACAGTGGTTCTTGAAAAGAAGATTTTTCAAGATTTTTCCTATATATTTCAATGTAAAACTTGTATTCCCTATTGTGGCCCCGCCCTACCCCTGGGGGTCATGATTTTAACAATTTAGAATCTACACTACCCCAGGATGCTTCCACATAAATTTCAGTTTTTCTGACTCAGTGGTTCCTGAGAAGAAGATTTTTTAAGATTTTTCCCATACATTTCAATGTAAAACTTGGATTCCCTATTGTGGCCCCGACCTATCCCCGGGGGTCATGATTTTAACAATTTAGAATCAACACTACACCAGGATGCTTCCACATAAGTTTCAGCTTTTCTGGCTCAGTGGTTCTTGAGAAGAAGATTTTTAAAGATTTTTCCTATATATTTCAATGTAAAACTTGGATTCCCTATTGTGGCCTCGCCCTACCCCCGGGGGTCATGATTTGAACAATTTAGCATCTGCACTACCCCAGGATGCTTCCACATAAGTTTCAGCTTTTCTGGCTCAGTGGTTCTTGAGAGGAAGATTTTTAAAGATTTTTCCTATATATTTCAATGTAAAACTTGTATTTCCTATTGTGGCCCCGCCCTACCCCCGGGGGTCCTGATTTGAACAATTTAGAATCTACACTACCCCAGGATGCTTCCACATAAGTTTCAGCTTTTCTGGCCCAGTGGTTCTTGAGAAGAAGATTTTTTTATGACCCCACCCTATTTTTGTCTTTTCTTGATTATCTCCCCTTGTAAGGGGACTTGGCCCTTTATTTTAACAATTTAAACTCCCCTTCCCCCAAAGATACTTTGTACCAAGTTTGGTTGAAATTGGCCCAGTGGTTCTTGAGAAGAAGTTGAAAATGTGAAAAGTTTACAGACGGACGGAGAGACGGACGGACGACGGACAACGGGTGATCAGAAAAGCTCACTTGAGCTTTCAGCTCAGGTGAGCTAAAAAGTAAAAAAAAATGAAATATTTTTTGTTATAGAATACAACAGCTGCTAAGCTTCAGTAAGCTGAAAATCTAACACAGATTTTGAGAGAAAAATATTATAAATGCAAGAAATCTATAGAGATATCTTTACGTGTACATAAATTGGCACATTTAAAATTTGGCGCAATGGAATTGTTTAAGCACTACAATACATCCATGCCATGTAATGAAATTTATTAAATAATTCTTTAATAAGTACACAGATTTTTCACTGATGAGTTAGCTGACAAACATGGTTTGTGTTCAAGGTTGTCATTGAAATTTATTTAGATAAGAGTAAGCTCATAATATATCAGTCTGCACAGTTTCTTGTCAACATTATGAGAAATGGGTGAAAACAATTGAAGCTGAAATTAATTTCTAAGAGTTCTTGCACTTTTCTTATCTTACTTAATTCCTGAGGTCTTAGTAGAAGTTTTTGTTCCCAAATCCTACAAGAATGCACAGGTCTCTCAAAACTTGCTTCTTCAAACCCTGAAACAATTCATAATTCATGTGTATTAAATTAATATTACAATACATGTTTATTTAATACTGTATACAGGGTTCTTTTCGCCCTGCATTGATTTCACCCTTTTACACTTCCAAACAATTTTGCCCCATTTTAAATTTGAAGTCATAGTTCTGTTTAAGAATAACTGTACGTGTACCTGATTTAGCGTAATCAAAATTAAGCGCAATCATTGGAGTTGTTGGTGCAATCATGAATTAGTGCTATACATGTCCATGCTGTGTATTGTATTTATAAATAATTTCTTAGCCATATAAATGAATTATCACATTGATGTCTGCACCAGAGCCACTTTAATGTGAAGACCGCTTTTTTAAGTACACATACAGTACACTGCATTTTTTTAATTCGCCCCGTTTTAAATTCTCCCACTTGCAAGTAGGGCAAAAGGGGCAAAAATAAAACGGGGGTGAAAATTTCCCTGTATACAGTAGATGGAAATCACATAACATTTTCCATGAGCAAGAGGATTTTGAACATGTTGAAGAACAAATCATATAATTTGAAAGGATTTAATTACTCATCACCAAGTTCGCTTTCTGGAATCAAATCTACAACATGTACAAAAGCTTTAAACTAAGAGGAAGTATTTCCATCATCAAAGATCTCAATTTCTAAATCTAATTCTTATGCCAAGTACCTTTTTTTTAACAGCATAAAAAATTCTTTTCATAATACCTAGGAATTTTTGGGTCTTGCTAGATGGGCTCTGTTAAAATAAAACTGGCCATTAACCCCCATCCAACCGCATCAAATTGAAAGGTATTAGTTTAAATAACCTTACCATATTTATTTTCAAAAAAAGTTGGAGAGGATGCATAACTCTGTATTGTTTGTCTCTCTGGCTTAAGGTGGCTTCTCAGGGGAGATAACTCTATAGATGATAAATTCTTCGGCAGGTGCTCCAGATTTAGAAAACTGATTAACTGTTCCATCTGTTACAAATAAAACAAATAAGCAATGCTGTTGTTATTATGGATCAGCCTTTCTAAAATGAACCGACAGAACAGTATAATTTAGAAATGCAATCAAGGGATTCCAAATGCCAAAACAATGCCAGTGTCATGTGTATTCAAATCACTTAACTGAAGCTATTTTGATAATAAAATATTACACTTCCAAATCACTTCCTTTAAAAGGATGAATCTCTTGATTATAGTTTAAATATCTTTTATTATTACTCCTTAGATTTCCCACTTCCTTTGAATACTAAGAATAAACTAAATTAGTTAAACGAATGTGAAAGAATGTTTGACAATAATACTCTAAATTCATAGTTTTGATAATATTCATATAAAAGAAGTTTCTAGGCTGTTTTTATAATATTTTATCCAGCGTTTTTTTTCCCTTATATACCTGGTACCGATAAACAGTACCATTCCCAATGCCAAAAAACGGTAATTATTCCCAATTTTAAGACTAAAATTTCCCAATTCAACTGCCATGCAACAGACCACAATGACATCGTACTTCTTTTAAAATGAAACATTGTACAAGTTGACTAATAGTTTCACTTCCGCTGAAATCGAAAGTAGAGATTAGTCGTAATATAGCGGGACCTGTGGTGTAAACAGTGTAGTGTCATACATTTTGACAAATTGAACTGCCAAGCAACAGACCACAATGACATCGTACTTCTTTTTAAATGAAACATTGTATAAGTTGACTAATAGTTTCACTTCCGCTGAAATCGAAAGTAGAGATTAGTTGTTATATGGCGGGACCTGTGGTGTAAACAGTGTAGTGTCATACATTTTGACAAATTGAAAGCATGAAAATCACAGGTACTTGTGGACAGCCCCCCCCCCCCCCCCCCCCCCCCTGATATTCAACCCCGGGGCTTGTTGGACATTTTTTCACAAATTATATTTATTGCACTTATTCATCATGTGTACCATAGGAAAAAGTCATGAAAACCCCCAAATAATCGTTCCACACAAAAAAACCCCCACTATTTCATTATAAGAGAGAAAGGTATGCCACTCCAGTTTGTTTATGTTGTACCCCCACTGATCTTTCTGGGTTTAAAAACAGGAATTTATTTTATTTTAACCTAAAATGTCCGTTCACACTGTCTCTTACATATATTTCTGTCTTAGTTCATGCTATTGGATTGACTCTGCATCTCGTAAGAATCCCACAATTAATCCTTAAACAGCATTGCAGTCAGTGCGTTGAAAAATCCTTAGGTAAACGCAACGGAAGTAAACCAAGAATGTATCACTTATTACAATAACGTCTGAGAGAGTTGTGGCCTGACATAATAATCTCTCTCGGGTGTTATCATAATAGGTGATATATTCTCTATGCAGTTCCATTGCGTTTACCTAAGGATTTTTTCAACGCACTGACTGCAATGCTGTTTAAAGAGATATTGTGGGATTCTTACGAGATGCAGAGTCAATCTGATAGCATGAACTAAGACAGAAATATATGTAGAGACAATGTGAACCGACATTTTAGGTTAAAATAAAATAAATACATGTTTTTAAACCCAGAAAGACCAGTGGGGTACAACGTAAACAATTCGGAGTGGCATACCTTTCTCTCTTATAATGTATAGTGGGTTTTTCTTGTGTGTGGAACGATTATTTGGAGGGTTTTCACGACTTTTTCCTATGGTACACATGGTGAATAAGCGCAATAAACATAATTTGTGAAAAAATGTCCAACAAGCCCCGGGTTGAATATCGGGGGGGGGGGGGGGGGGGGGGGGGGGGGGGGCCTGTGATGTAAATGCGAAAACAAGGGACATTGATATTGAAAACAATTATAATACTTGTAGTTTATTCTTTGAAACACAGAGCACTAGGTAATGAGGTTGGAATAAACGCAAAATACGTTTAATTAGTTTAAATGACAGAAAACTCTCCTTTTTTCTACTTCGATTCTATATTTCCCAATTGAACCGGTACCGGACCCTTTCCCAGTGGGTGAAAAAAAATCGCTGTTATCAGATAATATATTGGTCTGAACATGCTGAAAAGCTCTCGACTGGCAATATGAAAGTTGTAAAATTCCAATAAAAAAAAATTTGAAGGTAATAAACTTTGAATCTGTGTCCATGCCCTATAAGACAACAAAACAAATGTAGTGTTTTGGGGCAGTGATGATGTGCATGTTATACACCTTAAAAATTCACACGAGTTCACAATCAATGAGTGTACTGGTTAAATATATGGTTCAGTTAAAAGAAAGTACTTGTTTAGGTAATAAACTTTGAATCTGTGTCCATGCCCCTATAAAACAACAAAACAAATGTAGTGTTCTTGGCACTTGTTTAACTTAATCAAACCCTGGAATGCACACACGTCAAACAGTGAACATATTTTATTGTAATACATATACAATGGGATTGGGAACAAGTTTCTTAAACCTTAAATATTTCGCCCTCTCCCTAAAATGTATGAATATAAGATCTCCCATGATTTAAATATTTTTTATCCGATGAGTTTTTTTTTTTTTTTTTTTAATCCCCGAGTCTTGGCGAGGGGATAAAAACACACAATGAGTTGGATAAAAATCATATCCAACCACAAATCATGGGAGCTTCTTTTTATCCCATGTTTTACACATCATTATTAATGTTTTACACTGTTCTTATATAGAAATCCACTTTATTTCATTTCATAACTCTCACACAAAACCCATTGTGACATCACAACTGTGGGATATCAGAAAATATCTATATATCTATATCTATATCTATATCTATCTATATATATATATGTCAAACAGTGGATACAGACCTGTCGTATATCTGCCTCTAAATGTTTATCATCTTGTGTCCTGTTTTTCCTTGGGTGACTTTTGCGGTGATTGTTACCAATCCAAGTTTCTGTTGAGGAAATGCGGGCTCCATTCAGAAGAGATGAAAACTGAGTCAGTGCCGTCACAACCTGCATAAACAATAAAACGGAACTTCATTTAAAGGTGCTTGGAACAGATTTGAAGTTAATATTTTCTCAAATTTTCTGTATAATTTCATGACTTATATGTTGCTATAGCATTTCATACTAAAATAAAACAAAAATCTTATTTCATCTCAAAGTTATTGAAACTTCAAATTTCTGGACGCGTTTGATTGACACATCCTTGCACTTTCACAAATTTTAATTTATTCTTAAACTTAAGAAAACTGGCAATTTTGTTGTGTATTAATGAAAAATATTAAAACTATAATCCAGAAAATTCAGAGTAGAAATGTTCGAAAGCAAAACCCACTCACAGTATTGTCAGTACGTGCTCAGTGGTGTGTACAGACTTTAACAATTGAACACACCCAGTGAATCGTAAACATTAACAATAACAGAGCTTGTGCCCTGTTTACGAAAACATTTTACGTTTCACGGGTGTATTCAATTTGTTAAACTCTGTACTTTCCTTGTGTGTTAGTACAGGAATTAACATTTAAAAAATAATACAATAAGTTATCAATGTTCAGAGACACCCAGTGCATTAAGTCTGGCAGGTGCACTTATTGTTTTCAAAGAACAAACCATGCAAACAAGCGAGATGAGCAGATGCTATTATGGAGCCTGCATTGGCCATACCTTTACTTTTTTAATACATATCAATAGGTACATACATGTATTTATAAACCAAGCAGAAGTACCTTTGTCCGGAGTAGGTAATGGTATGAGATACCAGGCTATGTACGGTGCGTCGATTTACCCAAAAGGACCCAAAAGAACCCTAAAGGAAGTTAAGGAACCCAAAAGGACCCAAAATGAACCCAAAAGGAAATTAAAAGCAACCCAAAAGGACTAGAAATAAAGGGGATAACTGGATATTCAATGAACGCTTTCATACTTTATTGAAAATAAAACAGTAGTTGTGGGGGAAAAGTGTATGGTTGGGGTGGGGGTGTCCCTTCCCCCACCCCACCCCCGATACCATATGCCTAGAACAAGTCATAAAATAAAACTTACTGCTTCATTATATATCATATAGTAAGATATGGTCAAATAGAAGGGGAAATATAATAATACTTTGTTATTTTCAGCTCAAATAAAACAAAGCATATCTAACCAGATTTAGTGTTTGACGTGTTATATAAGGCGTTATGTTATTTCTCAAAGAAAAGTTGCAACTGTACAGTATAAATTTATGTTTTTGTCAAATTTTATGTAAACTTATAATGTAATATTCATTATTTAATTCAAATTATTAATTTTCAGTATATCATAATATATTCATTTTGAGTCCTTTTGGGTTCCTTTTGGGTCCTTTTGGGTTCCTTTTGGGTCCTTTTCGGTTCTTTTGGGTCCTTTTGGGTAAATCGACGTGCCCAGCTATGTATATCAAGAGTTCATTTCTAGGTTACATAAGATACATGTACTAATTACGAAAACAAGAAGTCTAATTAATGAGTGCATAATCCCAAAATACTAACAAAAACATGCAGCAGACAAAATGCTATATCTCAAAATTATTCACTTTTTTTCGCACAAAGTTCCATTTATTGTAGAACAGATGTGTGCACGACAAGCAGCGTTTTATGTTGCTGGTAGAAGGCATCCGGCCATTCACCAGGTCCGGCACAATCTCCTGATTAAGCTATATAGCTTGATCTAGCTATACAGCTTTATTAAGCTATCCAGAATAGCTTGATTTAGCTATTTTATCACACTTTTTTCTCAAATGTGTTATTTTCCAAGTACGTACAAAAAGTCGCACCTTGGTGCAGTGATGATATTCAACCTTGAACTCTTATGAAAATAATGCATGTAAAAATCACTCATCAAATTGCGTCTCCTTAAGAGACTTTGTACTCAAAGTTCTAAAAGTTTTGGGGGCTATATAAAGCAATTGATACAGTTACCTCTTCAATGAAATTATAAAGGAGGCCAATTATGGTCAACAAGATAATTGATTGGAATAATTCAGTACAATGAGAAGCAATCATACTTATCCATGCCTCAACTCACACAAGGTAGTGTACAGTTACCCAAACAATGGAAATTCATCTTTTGCTTAAAAGTATTCAAATGCTGCAATATTAGAACTATCTTTGATTTGGGTTGTTGATTTGATAACCCATTAGGATATTACATATATGAATAGTCAAAAACTTGCGACTTATTGTCTATTTTGTACAAATAACATTTTTATGAAAACCTGCATATAAATAGCTTTATCAAGCTATTTTGAATAGCTTAATAAAGCTATATAGCTATTTCAAGCTATAAAGCTTAATAAAGAGATTGTGCCAGATCTGTTCACCATGTTCACATCTGTATCCTTTCTGTGTGTTTAGAAAACGATTTCAATCTTACCTGTGGCTGTAAAGCTGACGGAGAAAACATGATCCCGGTAAAACTTTCCCTCTTTAATAGAGAACTACTTTAGAAAGACAATCGGAGAACAGTTACGCAAAAAAGAACACCCGAGAAAATGTGGCTTACGCAAGGGACGTTGAAAATTTGACTAAACAAGAAAACCAAATTCGATATCCGGTATAATCAAAATAAATCCGGAATAATGGGCTGATAATTTTGTGGCAGCATGGAAGACATTTTTTCAGAACACTTTCATAGTACTTTTTTTTTTTTAATTTCATTTACATTCACAAAGATTTGAACATAGCATAGACAGATCTTACTTAAACTTCAAGGGAATGACAGATTTTTTTTTTCAGAATGTACCTTTACTCTTTTTGAAAGGATGTATTCACTATTACAAAAGAATTGACCTATAGGAGAGAACAATTTCCCCGAAAAAGTGACATTTAAAAATCAATCTTTATTTGTTGTTTTCTATCGTATGTATGTCTAAATCTTTCAAATTTGTATTTTAGAACTAAAATTTATTATTTACAACTTTACAATAAACCTCCAAAGTTGGCCGAAACACCATTTTGTCCGTGAAAGCGTTAATTTTTGCATGAATTTTGGCCTAGAAGTCCTTCAGGGCAGGCCTGCCCCTAAATAAAATTGTGATATTTTGATAGGTCGGGATGTAAGGAATAATTTAAGATAGGATTTTTTTTAGGGGCACCCCTGCCCTAGGGTTGAAATTTTCAAAAAACCTACAAAAAATAAGTAAACTTGATTTTGACAATCTGCTTCAAATTTATACCATTCAATCTTTTTGTCAGAATAGCTCATTTGATATATGCGCTGTCTTTAATATCGTGTGTACTTTCTTTTTTAAAGTCGGGGGTTCGAATCCACCTGGTGCCACACTTTTATAGTTTTAAATTTTCGCCTTTTCAAAGAATATTTTATTTTTTTTTATAGGCTTGTGTATTTTTCTTCAATTATCTATCCTTTATGCATTCCCATTCTTGATATAAGAAACACTAGAGAGAGATCAAATCGTAACAATCCAATGCACAGTTGTCAGTCAGGCGGAACAAATCTCAGTATAAGCACACTTTCTCCGAGGACAAGAATAACTCACTCTGTGTTACTCGATACAGGTATTCTCGGCAGCATTGAGCTGCGATGAATTTCAATTGTATATATTCCTTAGAACTTAATCACATTGCTTTTATTCTGTCAGTGCTACTAGTGCTTGTCTGGGTTACATGTAGTATGTTACGTATTGCTTGAATTATTTGAGCTTAATATATTTAGAATAACATACATGTACTTTTGTTTTCAGTCAATGTTTTAAGATCTTAAGTTTTGAAAAAGTAGGGCTACACATATCAGTAACTGTACTCCACTGGATTTCATTTAGGCCTATATGATTTGCACACATTAATGGCATGCTTTTATTTTATCCAACGGAAATGTGTTGTAAAATAAATAGCCTAGACATAAAAAATAGAATTCCAGAGACAATATACATTACCATTATGTACAATGAGAAGTAAAGAAAAATATCAATTATTACATTTGGAGATAACAAACTCAGAATATCAATGAAAGTGTTCCTCCTACCTCTACTCACTGAAATAAAGATTTATGAAAAACAAATTGTTACATGTATTCAGCCTAATGTCATTAATCGGAACGGAAATCGACAAGCTTTTTGTAGGGAAAAAAACCAAGCCCGGCCCTATAGGTCAGATCCCTATTTATATAGAAGTGAACCTTTATTGAAAATTAGTACGGAAGTATTGACTTCGCAGCTACATGTTTCAGAAAACATTCTTACCCAGTAGTGGATCCAGAAATCTTTTCCAAAGCTGTTCGGGGAGGGGGGGGGGGGAAGTTCCACCCCAGTCAAAATATTTCCAAATCAGATGACAAGCAAAAAAAAAAGTCCACTCTCAAACGTGTAATAACACTATTTCTTGGCGGTGGTGGCACAGGTACTTGGGTCTTGGTTTATAAATATGTTTGTACCTTATTGATATGTAAAAAAAAGTACTTTTTTTACGTATCAATTAGGTACATACATATTTATAAACCAAGACCCAACTACCTGTGGGTGGTGGTGGTCTCGGGGGTCCACATTTTCGGGGATGGGGGTGTGGGGGTTCAAACTAAAGTCATTTATATTTGCTTCACTAGGCTATATTCATTTAAAAGCTCTGCAAAGTCCGGGAGGGGGGGTTCAGTCCGGACCCCCCGACTCGCCTCTAGATCAGCACATATGATACCAGCGCAAGCGGGTTATATATACCTTAACGATAATTCCCGAACTATTTAAAGTGAAAATGATGCAAAGAGTAAAATCGACCAAAGAGGACCAGTGCCTTTTGAAGAGTGGTATATTCAAAACGAATTTTACTTTTAAAAAAAAATCAATTACATATTTATTGATCATTTTATCCGGGAACACAGTACGGTTTTTTTTTTAATTTTTTATTTTTTTTTATTACAATGTATTATACGTGGCCGTAGGAACGGGTGCTCCCCCCCCCCCCCCGAATAATTTTGCCGATATATATATATATATATATATATATATATATATATATATATATATATATATATATATATATATATATATATATAGATTACTATAGTAAACATAGATACTATATGCTTGTGCCCCCTCAATAAAAATGTCTGGTGCCCCTTTTTTTCTTTTTTGCATGTCAGGAAATTGTTGGTATTGCCTCCTCAACTGTCAACTGAAAAATGTATGGTTGTGCCCCCCCCCCCCCCCCAACCGAAATTGCTTCTACGGGCATGTTATATCTTACAGACTACCATGTTGGGGAGTACTGATTATGTTGGAAATCTTGCATTTTCACGAGTATCTTACTTGTGGTATTGTACATCTTTCATTTGTACCTTCATGATAGATATGATTTATATTCTTTCATATTACAATATACTTTAATATTACTTATATGTAATCACTCTGAAATAATTGTATATGCCCCCAGAGGACCCTTGATTGGTGAATAAACATTAATTGATGTAACAAATGATGAGAAATGAAGAAAAAAAACGTAGATACAGCCATAATTTACATGTAGGCTCAGTATTAAGAAAGTTTTAAAAACTTTTTTAATGACTTTAAATTGATACATGTTATCAATAAGGAATTATTCCACAAAAATGACAAAATAATTTAAAAAAAAAATATGTGTACAACGCTTCTTTTCTCCTTGACGTTGTGCATGAGCATTTTTAACACAACCACAAATTTTCCTCAATAATACTAGATAATATTCAGTGGAAGTAAATATTCGGCACTGATTTTAATTAAAATCAATAAAATCGTTAAATAAAATTAAAAATTAAATAAAACCGTATTTTTAAAAGGAAAAGTTGCAATCTCAGCAAAAAGTGTCTTTCATTTTATCATCCAGTATCCCCCTTTCATGTACATTCAAAAGATCTGGTTCTGTCATGTTACATGTATTAATTTTGAATTTACCGGGTGGCAGTAAATACAAAATTTACTACATGACAAACTGTTGTAAATGTTGTATTTACTGCCATCCGGTAAATTCATAATTTACAACATGACAGTTCGACCAATCAGATTTATTCTACCCGAGTGCAGAAATTTAATAGTGTACTACATAATACTTGTATATCGAAGATAATTTCTCAACTGAAAGCATCCTAACACAATGTAGATCCAGGTTTCTTCAAACCAAATCTTGGTACCGGGGTAAGGTTTAGCCTAAAAGGAGATCAACGTTTAAATGAAAAATTATTTACGATGGAAAACCCCAGTGGCATGAAAAGGAAAACCAATTTGCAACCATTTCAGGTAAATAGAGTTTTTTTTTTTTTTTTTTTTTTTTTTTTTTTTTCAATTCATGGTCCCTGGAAGTAGGGCGGGACAATAGAGGATCGTATTTTATATCCAACCTGTCTACAATGGTTTCAGTTCTTAGCAATATTTATTTTTTTCTTTCTTTCCTCAGCCTGTAATTACGATGTTTTCAGAGAAGTTCCAGCTTCATTGACTGGAGTTATGTATTTTTTCTCAGTCAGAGTAGAAATAGAGTTTATTGTAAGATTTCCAAATATTTATACTCTTTATTATTTTTAATTCCTTTCTTTTTTGAAAAGGGGGGGGGGGTGTCTTATGTCCTGTTCCCACGGAGAGGTCAATAACAGTAAATTTATGCGAAGTAAAATAATGCGAATTCATTTAATACGGTCACAGTACAGCCAATGCGAAGTAAACTAATGTGAATTAAGGATGTACAACACACCTACCCAAAAAATTTCCTGTCGTTTAATTTTCGCTATTTTTGTATATCTTATACATGACATAATCTACTATGAGTATGTACATTTTCGTCAAAATCGTTCGAGCCGAATTTGGACAGGAAGTTCCTAAAGTTACCCGCCTTTGGCTGATCACGAGTACAAAAAAAAAATTCAACCAACTAACTATAAAATCCCTTATTTTAAAATATTTAAGGTTAGCCTGGCTGTCAAAATTTGCTGAATCGTTTGTTTAACATTAAACACACAAACAAAGTGATTTTATAGAGGTACACTTCGAGAAAAACGATTTTGAAGAATTTAAACTGAAAAACTATGGTTCATTTTTGCATTGAAAAATGCGTCATTTTCAAATGAAATAATTTTTTATGAAAAAATCTGTCGTTTAATTTTGAAAAAAATTATTACTTCTTGTAACTGATGATCAAAATGTTCTTGGTAATTTATTGAAAATTTTTTAAACGACGCGTTTTGAATTTATAGCGGAAAATCTCCCCTCCACATCTGTCCGTAAGTTAAGTTTCTCACAGCGTCTTTCAGACTTGGGACGAAAGGAATGCTATGATTCTACAAATACAAATAAAAATCCCTAGCTGGGAAATATCTTACTTAAAAAATGTAATGTACATTATATTTATCACAAATATAAAACTTTACATCTGCATTTAAATGAAGATGAATAAGCAATTTCTGAAATTTTAAGAACCCCCCCCCCTCCATTCTTCTCTGCAAACCAGGACATTCGAGCTTGAAAAAAAAAACATTGGTTACGTCTGCATAATATAATATATAATTGGCATATTGAACTCCTAAAGTAATGTCCTTCA